AGGAGCAAAGCAGGAGTTACTTAATACTTTTCCTGAAAGCTCAGAAATTCAGTGAGATGCTAATTTCTTTTTTTTTTTGTTTTTAAATTGAAAGAAAAGCAGTTCAAGAGCTGTAAGGTATGCAGTGTTGAACTGGCGCGTAAAGTTAACATGCAATACTTGAACTTGCTTAGTGATTTATACAGTAAGAGTACGATACTAATAAAAAAGCCAAATGGACAAACGTTACTCTAAATAACAGTGTTCATATCTCATCTGCAGGATTAGGATTGATCTGCATTTTAAGGATATTGACTGATTATTTTTCAGTCAGTGAAATAAGCGGAAGTAAGAAGAGGGAGATTTTGCTTGCTTGTTAATAACCTTGCAGCTGTTGAAGCCAGCAACACTATTAAAAGTATAATGAAGACTCCCGAAGCATGTGAGGAATGAAATCTTTGCATCAGGTGGATTTTGAGGATGTCGCCTTTCCCTAAAGTGCTTATAATCAGATGCAGCCTTCAAGGCTAGAAAGACTTCCATGCGTACAGAATCAGCATCTATTCATGATTTTAATACCAGCAAGATTTGGAAAATCTAGAGTAAACATCAGCTTATTTTTAGTTGCTAAACATCTTAGCAAGCAGATTGGTTATGATGTGGCTTTGCCATCCGTGACCTGTTGCCATTAGAAAGGAGGAAAGTGGAGTAGCAAAGAAGTGAGAAAGATAAAGCAGGAAATGCAGTGAATGAGCATGAGGAGGCTTTTGGATATTCTGTGACTCTGCAGCCAAGCCCATAAAATGTTACTTTAGTGAATAATTTTAATTAGTTGACAGAAAAGAAGCTCCTATTCCAGAAGCCTCTGGTGAAGTATAACCTGTATTTTGCAGTGAGGAGCTGAATTGGAGGCAGTCTCACAGAGATCTGATGATGATGATCCAAGAAATGAAGAGGTGTTTGCCTGAAGAGAAAAGGAGTTCCAGCAAGCCCAGTACCATCAGTGCTCTCAACTATGCCTTGCAGTGTGTCCAACAGATCCAAGGTATGTCTGGAAGAAACCTGGAAGCATTGAAGCTATATAGCATCTTGGTTTGAATAAGCATGTCTGGCAACAAACAACATTAAAACAAATTAAAGTGTTCCAGTTATCCTGCAAATAGCCGACTTTATGAAGCACTGTGGGGTTTGTTGTTTTTAAATAATCATGTTAGTTTTTCTGTTTACATGTCCGCCTGCTGCTGCTCTTTCCTTCAGAGCCCTATAGCTAATAGGTGCCTACTAATAACTTTCTGTGTATATTGAAAAAAGAGCATTCCTGTCCCACTTTGAAAAATTATTGGATAGTCTGTGTTTTCCAACAGAACTAAGCAGCTAAAATCGTTCTTTTGCCATCACATTCTGCCCTTTCTACTTCCTCATGCTCACTTTTTGTAACACAAATGGGTCACTCCCCTAGTATAATCAGTATTCCTTTTTCCTTTGTCACTACACAGACCTTCCTCAACTCACTTTGGACATCACCAAAAAGATGACAAAAGTACAAGGGCTGTAAGAAATACTTTCAAAATAGTCTCCTTGCTGACTTACTTGTGTTTGTTTTGCTTTTCCTTTTTTTTTTTTTTTTCAATTAGCAAACAATGACTTTTTCCAGGCTCTGAATGACCGAAGAGTGTTTCAGACAGATGTGATGACATACAGCATAGACGAGTTGGTGGCAGTTGCATCTGAGCACACTCCAAAAAACACTGTAAGGAATTTGGGCACACTCAAGGAGTCTGTCACTTGCTGTTTCACTCTCTACTTTGTCTCCTTACATCATTTTGTGGAAATAGAATGTGTAAAATTGAAAAGCCGTTAAGTTTTAGCCAGACAGGCCTTTGTGTTTTTAAAGGTAGATCAAGACTACTTCTTAGCTGTGCTGACGCGGGGTGCTCAACAGCAGTAACTGAAGAAATACTTATTTTTTTTTTCTTCTTTTTTTGCCAGAAGCAACAAATATCTCTCAGAGTCTTATTTGAGAATTCATTTGCAGCATAGTAATCTCTCAAGACAGACTTAGCAGAATGTTTTCAAAGCTGATCGAGTCCATAGTTGTGAAGGACTTGGTTTCTGTTTGTACTCCTGGAATTTTTTTTTTTTTTTTTTTTTTTCTTGATTTGCAGTATGTGTCGTGCTTTCTGGCTCTGCTTCAAAGAAAAGAGTGTTTCCTGAGATTCATAGAATCATAGAATCATAGAATGTTTTGGGTTGGAAGGGACCACTAGAGGTCATCGAGTCCAACCCCCCTGCAGTCAGCAGGGACACCGCCAACTAGATCAGGTTGCTCAGAGCCCCATCCAACCTGGCCTTGAATGTTTCCAGGGATGGGGCCTCCACTACCTCTCTGGGCAACCTGTTCCAGTGGTTTACCACCCTCATTGTAAAGAATTTTTTCCTTATATCTAGCCTAAACCTACCCCGATTTAGTTTAAAACCATTACCCCTTGTCCTAACGCAGCTGGCCCTACTAAAAAGGTTTTCCCCCTCTTTCCTATAGGCCCCCTTTAGGTACTGAAAGGCCGCAATCAGGTCTCCCCGCAGCCTTCTTTTCTCTAGACTGAACAAGCCCAACTCTCTCAGCCTGTCCTCATAGGAGAGGTGCTCCAGCCCTCGGATCATTCAGTACTGTTAGGTGCCGTATCAGAAATACTGCAAAGGCTTTCTACTTGGAAAGTTCTCAGAATATTTTTGTATCTGGAGTTGTTGCGAATACTCTGAAGTTGGGGGAGAAGCGTGTGCAGTGATAACCAGTCATTCTGGCCAGTGACGGCAAGCATCGCTGTAATCTGTTTCAGTTGTGATACTGCGGCCTTATAAGCGTTTGTAAATCATGAGTAAGCTACTGTAGCATTGGAGATTGTAGTAGCTCACGCACAGCTTTAATTGGATGCTAACTTAAAAACACATTTTTGAACCTCTCTCTTAGGTTGTGATGTGTAGTGGTTTTGGGTTGGTTTGTTTTGGGGCTGGTTTGGTTTTGCTCTTTTATCCTTACAATATTGCTACCGTGTGTTGGGGAGGATTGCCTTTAACAGTGTTTGTTTTTCCAGGACACATTTGTGGCTGTGTTTTCCTTGCTTTCTGGACGTATAATGCATATTTCTGAGCAGGCAGCGTCCATTCTAAACTGCAAGAAGAAAGTGTTGGACTCCTCCCGCTTCGTAGAGCTGCTTGTCCCTCAGGATGTGAGTGTGTTCTACACACACACCGATCAGTCCCACTTGCCGCTTTGGAACATGGAAAGTCAAACAGGTGGGACGTGGCAGTGCTCTTAAATGCTGCATGTGCCTTTCTGTCTTTGCAGAATGAGGCTAGAATAGTTTTTCATTTTAAATGCTTAAGCTAGCAATATACATAGGCCATGCTTGTTCCCTTTCCACACTGAAAACTCGAGTAGCTATGCAGCTAGTCCGAGCTAATCTCCTAGAGGCTTAACTCTTCCTTGGGGTAAGTAAAAGGGAGATACTTCCTTGTTTTGCATACCATCTTACTCATTCCAAATATTGCTGCTTTTTAAAAAGAAATTAAAGGTCTAATTGTGAGTTTAAAGTTGTTTAATCTACATCTTATGGTTGCTTAGGTGCTTTGTCTTTATGGTCCCCTTGCAGCCTGCTGTGAACCCAAGTTTTAAGCTGATTTGCTATTTAGTGCTGGATGTGCCTAAATGGTGACTTCTGAGTCCTATGTTATTTGTGAGCAATCCAAGTGTAGCTCGTGTGCCAAGGCTGTGCCTTGTGCCCACCTAGCTGTGGGGCTCTTCTGGCGTCAGAGCTAGGAGGTCCAAAATCCTTGCTACC